CCCTCGCAGGACTGCCACCATTCCCAAAGGAGTTCTCACACCGTACTTTTTGCAGGTACCTGGTACCTCCTGGGGGGTACCCCTTGCACCCTCCCCGCACCTGCCAGGAGGTGCCAGGTGCGGTACTTGGTACCTATTTTTGTGAAAATTTGAACAGGTACCTAGGTACCTCTACAGGTACCCCCTCACTTACCTACCAAAAATCAAAATGATGGTGGCCTTCTACTCCAAGAAGGTACCTTGGTTGCATGGAAACAGGGACTCAAGGATAATAAGAAGTCTAACAAAAAATCAGAAAGGAAGGTGATGGTTTTGGATGACAATGAAGATTCTTCCAATTAGTTATAAGTTTTAGATAGTTTAAACTTTGCAATAAATTATTAAATATGAAAAAATGAAAAAAAAATGACTTGGGACTGATGTTTTACAATAAATATGAAAAAATATAAAAGTAAGATTCTTCCAATTAGATGTAGATATATTACAACAGATATTAAAAAATGCCAAAAAAGTGACTTGTGAGTGATATTTTACAATAAATGTGAAAAAATAATAATAATAATAAAGTGACTTGGGACTCTGGGAGTGAAACTAGGTGAAAAAGAGAGGGGGGTACCTCAGGTACCTGCAACAGGTACCTTGGGTACCCCCCGGGAGGTGTCTGGTGTGGTACATGGTATCTATTTTCTTGAAATAATGAACAGGTACCTAGGTATAAACAGGTACCTAGGTCCGAACGAACGATCTCTACATTTCCCCAACACATTTGCCTAATTTGAAGCACTAATCTTCTTTCAGTCTGATTCCCTCTCAGTCATGTATTCTCTTATATTTCTATATTCTTGTTGTGCTCTAGTCTTTCTTCCTTTTCTTAACTCATTTCATTCTTGTTTTCTTGTCACTCAAAAAGCTCATCTTTTTTTGGTTTTTTAGAAATCCATCCATGATTTCTTAAACCCCAAGGAAATGGCATCAAAAACCCAGATTAGAAGACCAAGTATATTTCTAGCTTTATGAGACCCTAACCAAAATGTCAGGCAGGTGACTGTGTAAATTTGACATGTGGTATCCCAAAGGCACCTTTGCAATATCACGTGTCAACTTTACACAGCTGCCTGACCTTTTCTTGCAGTGTAATCATTATTTAACCCGCAATGATTGAAGCCAAGCCAGGTTTTAAATACAGCTAAGAGACCAATAGTTCTGCAAAGTTGGTGGCACTCATCTGCACTCATCTGCAAGTAATATAACAGTTTCCAACTTCAAATTGAAATGTGGTTGCTGATACTGATAATTAAAAGTTTCATAAATTGCTAACATGTCAAGGGTGAGAGATTTTTGATGAATGTGAAGTTTCAAGTGAAATTTAACATCAATATCAGAAAAGTGATGTTACAAGCAGCGGTGGGCCGCTACGCTATACTACGCTTTTGGCCCAAAAGCCCAAAAAGTGTAGCGTAGCGGTGCTTTTTTGCACAAAGATTTTGTAGTGTTAGCGTTTTTTAGTGGATTTCCACTACACTATGCTGCGCTACAGGGCCAAAAAACCGCTAACCAGTGTGTTAGCGTAGCGTAGTGGGCCCTTTTTTGGGGCCTGTGTGCGTAGTGTTAGTGCGGATGGAGCGGAATTCTGCCATGCTACACTAACACTACGGTTAGTGTAACTGGTAAATGTAGGTTGCAGGTTAGCAAGGATAACCATTGAGGGTGTTTGAATCAAAAAGTGACACCTGTGCTTGATATGGCAGGAATGATGATGAAGAAATAAATACTGGACCACCCACTGATTTCAAGAGTCAATGTAGAGGCACATTCTCACAAGACATGTGCTACTAGAGATGGTGGCAGAAAGCATCACTGGGGACATCTGAACAGCAACTCAGCCAGACATCTATGGTGTTTGGGAGGTGGGGGAGTGAGAAAATGTTTAGGGGCATGTTGAAAACATCTCAAGTGGACCAAATTCCTGATGGGCAGTACAAGAAACCAGATGGGTTAGTGGATTAATCCACTACATACCGTGAAATACTGTGAAACGTTCAAGAAGCACTTGTTTCATGAGGCACAGACCATGGGTGAGGACCACTTGCCAAGGATGTAAGGAAGGGTAGAATGATAGTGAAAATGTGCTTTGATTGCAAGTAAATGATGAGTGACTGCAGCAATAAGCAATCATGTGCAAGAGGAAGGAAGTGATAATAGCAGGCTAAGGTCCAAGGAGGGGGGGGAGGTATCATGTCAGTCACAGGGTACATTTCACAGTACGTGACATGTACCAAGTAATTTCAACTCAACTTACAGCCTTACAATGAATACTGGACAATGCAATATCTAAGATTGTTGTTGATAATTTATTTGGCCATCTTTGATTGTGAAAATATCCTTCGAATATAATTAGTATTAACATTGGTAACACATGTAAATTATAAGCATGTAACTTGTAAGGATACCCATGATATCTATTGAGCTATTTCAGGCTATTTCATGAGGAAACTTGATTGTGAAATACTTGAGACATTACTGGATGATATGTAACAGAGGTTTCCCCAGCAGTATGCTGTTTGGCTTCCTCAGCTTGGATGCAATATTAAGTCCCCAGTATTTTGTCATCAGTTCCCTTTGTTGGCTAATTCAAAGCATATACAACTCAGCCAAAGATTCCATGGGAATAAGCCCCTATTCAAATGCAGAGTTACAATTATGCAAGGCAGACTTATCTTTCCTGTGACATCAAGACCCCTTATGCATGCACAGCCACTGCACAGCATTGTTATCCAGTCTAGTTGTTAATGTATCTCATCAAATGAGAAACCACAAACCGATTAGAGTATACTTGATCTCAAAATGGATGCCTATATTAGTCTGGAAGTCTTAGACTGATCTTGGATGCCCTCTTAGTAGGAAGAGTCAGCAGTAGAAGTACCATACCTCACTAACTCCTCCTTGTTCTTTTACAGGTTGAAGGATTTAACCTTAAAATTAACCATTCTTGTTAATATACATGTTAGTAGCATAGAGGCTGACATGTGATATTGGCTCTTCATGAGAACTGGGTGCATGCTTTTAGTCTCATTCCACTCTCCATCCAATCCCTTGAATTTAGACAATAGCTTTAATGCACCTCAAAATCCATGGGCATTGAATCCAGTCCCAGATGGTGTGTATCATCATTACCTCCATCTGTCACAATGTCATTGTGGACTTGAAGCAAGAGATGCTCATCCTCAGATTTGGATATGTTGCAGAAAGTCTATGGGAAGAAATGAGGTGTGATTGGATTAGAGCTTTGGAGGCAATAATTAGGTTCCAGTCCAGGATCGTGGCCTTCCCCCCAATTATATCCAGACTGGGCATCTAGTCCAAACTGGATCCCCCCAACCCACTTGCCTGTCCACACATTCCCGATAGGGGGGGGGGGTTGTTGCTTTCTGATGCAGGTGTGAAGGTGTTGTTTACTGAGGGTTGAGTTTGGCCCCTCTCTCTCACACACACCCCAATTTTTTTTATTCACACTCCTAGGTTTGCTGATCATGGTCTATAAAATGTTACTGATACCCCCCCCCTTTCACTCCCTAGTAATGGATCAGTGACTGCAAAAGATAAGGTCTACCCTGCATATGGCCTTCAAGGTCACACCATTTATTTTTGGGGAAAACACAACTTGTCAACCCCCCCCCCCCCCATCTGTGGCATATTATATATAAAAGGGAAGCTGGTAGTGTCAAGATCTGATTAGATATCCCAAGTTATATGCATGTATCTCCTGGATGGGTTCTCCCCAGTTCATGATGAGGGTCTGGAATGGAAGGATGATTTGGTGGGCTTTGATTAGGTATTTAATTGGATTGCTATGTTGATCTGATTCTGGTGAGGGTCAAGAACGGATTTGGTTATGATATGTATGTAGCCACAGAGCAGTGTTTTTTTGTTTTTGTTTTTGGTTTGGTTTGGTTTTCTTCAAAGAGGCAGTTTGCCAATGGATGCAAGTATAAGTGTGAACTGCAGTGTGAGTTTTTTTATATGGAGTGTGTTCAGAGTCGAAGGAGACAAGTTCCGATCGAATTCTCTCATGGATCAGATACATAGTTTTTTGGATGCAGGGTCTGTACTGGGCCGTGAGAGTGTCTCATGCTGGTGGGTTATGTATTGAATTGTTTGGGTGGTTGTTGCGACTGTTCTGCTCGAGCTTGTTCTGCTTTCTTCTGCTTTCTTCTTCTCCTTCTTCCTCCTTATTATTATTATTGCTTTCTTTTTATTTATTTATTTGCCAACTACATACAACATACTGCCAATCGCTGCGTATCTCCTTTTGAACATACTCTCGCTCCTTTCCACTCCAGCTCGTAAAATATCGTCTAATCGTCAAATCGTTCAAGTGAGCACTCTCTGCTTCTTGGATGATCAGAGTCAGAAAGCAGGACGAGGACCAGGAAAGAAGAAGAACAGAC